TCTAAAGATATACAAATATACAATAAACACACAAAAAAGTTCAACCTCATTTGAGAATAAGCAAATCAAAAGCACAATAAAATACCACTTAACGCCCAGTAAGATGGTTACTTAAAGAAAAAAAGAGAAAAAGAAAATAACAGTGAATATATTTGAAATTTCCATAAAGGGTTAAGTGATTCCCTGGTTTAAAAATAAGCTCTATGAAATCTCTCAAAAAAAAAAAAAAAAAAAAAAAAAAGGCCAAAAAGGTAAAAGAATAAAGGTTTAAAAAATAAATGAAAACAAAGAGAAAATTTAAAAAGTCTCAACAGAGATATAACAGCCAATTATTAGAAGTTCTAGAAAAGGGGCACAGAAACAATGGAAGGGATATAATAATTAAATATGAACATTTTCCAGATTTAAAAGAATAATGGAACAACTTCTCCATTTAGGAAGGGTTAAAAAAAATGTCATTATCTTATTTAAAATTACTAACTGGTAGGTAACCAAAACCTATTTAGTGAAAATAAATAAATCCAGACTAACACTCATCCCCAGTAACTTCTAATCCAGTGTTCCTATCTCCCACTATCATTGTGACACCCAAAAATTCCTACCCTGAGAGATTTCAGGTATAGTATTGCTACAAAACTGTTTCTGGAAGTGTGGGAAATACGTATACACCATGGAATACTACTCAGTCATAAAAAAAGAATGAGCTCATGTCTTTTGCAGCAACATGGAACTAGAGGGTATTATTATAAGTGAAATAACTCAGAAACATAAAGTCACATACCACATGCTCTCACTTATAAGTGGGAGCTAAACAACGGGTACAGCTGGACATACAGAGTGGAATAACAGCCATTGGAGACTACAAAAGGTGGGAGGATGGGAAGGAGGTGAGGGTTGAGAATTTACCAATAGGTACAATGATCACTATTCAGGTGATGGGTATGCTAAAAGCCTAGATTTCACCACTACACAATATACACATGTAAAAAATCTGCATCTGTATTCCCAAAATACATAAAAATTAAATTTAAAAAATCTTTCTGGAAAATAGGATGAGACTGTGACTGTAACTCTCTGTAAAACTCAAATGGCCAGATGTGGTAAGAGTGACCGACTTTAAACAAGCTTACAAAACATCACCAGAATACAGGCAATGTACAGATGAAACTTCCTTAAAATATATTGGTTCCCTGATCAAGAAAACAGAACAGGGCTCTGTGAATATGTCTACATAAATTCTTCACTTAAGAATACCCTATGAAACAAAATCATTACTTTAAAAAAAAAAAAAAAAGTCTATTCATCATTATTGGTATACTTCAGCTATAGTTCAATTCTTTACAAATTTTTCTTCTGTTCTCAATAAATGACCTTAGATTTTTCTCTATCCTTCCCTGGAACAAACCTACCTTAAGACCCAGGAACTTTAAAAATAAACAGGTATAAATTCAAAATCTGGGAAATAAAGAGGAAGAAATTAGTAGGAAAGCACGTAGCTCCTTTCAAAAGGCACAAATAAATACTGCTTCATTTTGGGGTCTCGAAACTGAAATTATGGCTTCTCATTAAATATTTTAAGAATTCTACTACAATAAAAACAGGAGTTCCAGAGAAATGAAATAATTTTCCTGATAAGCAGAATAATCCCTGTAAATACGATAACTTACATGGCAAAGAGGGAATTATGGTTGCCAGTCAGCTGACCTTAAAACAGGAGTATTATCCTGGATTATCTGAGGGGGCCGAATGTATAATAATCACTCAGAATGGAAGAGGGAGGCAGAAGAGAGACAGAAGGAGAATGGTCAAAGAGGTGCGGTGTTGCTGGGTTTGCAGACAGAAGAAGGAAGTCATGAACCAAAGGCAGTTTTTAGAAGCTGGAAAAGATAGGGAAATGGATTCTTCCCTCAAGTCTCCAGGAAGGCACTTAGCCCTGCTGACATCTTGATTTTAGCCTGCAGAGACATGTGTCTGACTTGTAAGCTAGAGGATAGTAAGATAACAAATAGTGTGTTGTTTTAAGCCATTGTATTTGTGGTAATTTGTTATAGCAGCCAGAGAAAACGTACACACCCTGTTTCTCAAATGCTATAATTAGGCTTATTTGTTTCTACTGTTTTAGAGTCATTCCTATTCTTACCGCATTCATTTTCCATAATTTAAATATTTGTTCCTTCCTTTCTGTGATGCCTCACAGAAGGCTGAAACAGAAGAAACAGACCACTACAGAAGCACATGAGCACCTGAAAAAGGAGAAGAGTCAGGTGTGTCTGGTGAGACTTCTAATGGTTGCAGTCATGTAATATGTTCCGTAGACCTCAGCAGTAAGCTCAAATCAAGTTTTGATTGACTGGACTTTACTTAAGCCTTTTACAATTTACTTTTTTACTTCAGCCTTCACAGGTTTCAGATGAGTAATTTTAGCTATACTGATTACAAATGGGTGGCAGATTTCAGTTAACATATATATTTAATAAATCAAAATGCCAAGTGCATTAGTGGTATGTGTAGTCCTTTTGTTAGAAAATGAATGTATTGAGTGACCTCAATTCCTTTAGCAGTCAGAATTTCCTTATTTTAGGTTCAATTTTCTGTCCTCAAATCAGTCAAGTTACAGTGCATCCATGAGTGCCCATTTAACCTGAGAACAACCCCATCACACTTTTGCATATTACATCAAGTGAAGTTTCAGTAACATTTTTGAAAAGCTTTTCTTTTTGTTCCATTTTACTGCAGAATTTCATATCTTAAGGACATTATACTTTGGGGGAGGTGGTAGTAAAAATATCATAGGATGATTTTATGAGTAGATTATGGTAATACCAGAGATTTATTAATCAATGCACTTAAGATTTACCAGTTAGGTTTTAGGTAAGAGTAGAAAGTGACTGAAATGTTCTAGGAAAATAGAATAACATGCGTAACAACTATCATACAGTAATACTGACTAGTATTTTTATATGCAGAAGTTTCTAAACAACTGAATAGGAGCTGGTATGGACACAAATAAGGTGGTAGATGTGTTTTTTATCTAAATTACAAAAATAATAATGCTATACACTAGCATAGTCATTACGGCAGTTTATAATTGTAAAATATTGGAAACAATCTTGATGCCCATTGTTGGGACAGTAATTGAATAAACAATGCACAGTCTACAAAATAAGTAGTATACAGTGGTACAAAAAGAATAAGGGCGATCTTGGCCAGATGCAGTGACTCACGCCTGTAATCCCAGCACTTTGGAAGGCCACGATGGGTTGATCACTTAAGCCCAGGAGTTCGAGACCAGCCTTGGCAACATGGTGAAACCCCATCTCTACCAAAAACACAAAAATTAGCCAGTCTCGTAACACAGTCTCAAAATAAATAAATACATACATAGGCTAAAATTTTAAAAATAAAATATTTTTTAAAAAAGAAGAAAAGGGAAGATCTCTTCGAAGTAATATGAAATAAATGAGTACTTACTTTAAATAAACCATGATGTGGGCAGAACCCAAAATGAAATACAAATAGCAACAAATGAACCTAAAAGTATTACAAATGAACAATCGCACTGAAAGGATTGAGAACTAAAAGAACTAACATAAGTAAACTTGGAAAACAGTACTTATTGTATTCTGTAAGGTTAAGGTTAAAAAAAAAAGAATGCTAAGTAAATATTATAAGTTAGTAAATCTTTTTCATAGGGTGTTAAGTTAGCAATTCTGAAACTCTGTGTGTATATAATACAGTATAAATATAGTATATAGTATATAATATACTATAAATATATACTATAACATATCTATAATTATGTATAAATATATACTGTAATCCTTATACACACACACACATATACAGTGTTGAATAACTAAGTAAATATATTGTGGTTGAGAAACCAATTTTCTCACTTTCTGAGAAAAGACTTAAAAATAAGAAGAAAGGCTAGAACAAATTCTGTAGCATTTGATTGGAGTCAAAGGTATCCGTGTGAACTCCTGGTCTTTAATATATATGGAAATGGATACAGAAATAAATATAGAAGAGAAGTGTGTGTGTATACATATAATTGTCAGTTCTGTCTGCCACAATAACTAAAAGCAATTACACCTCAGTAGCAACAAACACACCTAGCCCCCAGATCTTGGTTTCTAAATCTCATTCTCCAATAAAAATCTTCCTTGGAGACATGATGACTCAAGGGTTGGGGCAGGGAAAATACAAGATAAGCCTGGAATATTTTGTGGTCATATGAGACACTACTTATTCAGCTACAGCTGAAATCTGGGTTTCCCAGTGGTTGGTCTAATGTTCTCATGTTATTTTCTCCTTCACCATGTACTAAAACGTAGAAAGAGGTTCCACAGACCAACTTTCCTATCTGTGTCTCCATGCAACCCAACTTAAGCTACCAAGCTGGCAGCTTCTGCTAATACAGGTTGTCTGACTCCCAAGACCAGGAAAGGGATAAAAGATTGCGGAAGTACCACATAAACACCACTAGAAATTGAAGAGCCTGAAGGCAATACTTTTAATCACCTGCGACAATAAAACAGAATAGCCTAAATTGAAAACTATTTAATTACTAATTCAGGCTACAATAGCAACTTCAACAACTCCTAAAATTCATTCAATTAGTGAAAGACTCTAGCTTCAGTGTCCTCATTAACTATAACAATTTTATAATAGCTACTTGATCTAAATCGCAGAATTCAATATTTTCTCCAAAAATATTACTCATTATACATCTACTCTATGCCAGGTACAATGCTAGGTAAAAGTAACATATTACACTCTGTTCTTTTTTTTTGTTAAGACAGGGTCTCGCTGTGTCACCCAGGCTGGAGTGCAGTGGTGCAATCATGGCTTATTGCAGCCTCAACCTCCTGGACTCAAGTGATCGTCCCACCTCAGCTTCCCAAGTAGCTGGAACCGCAGGCATATGCCACCATGCTCAGCTAATTTTCAGTGTTTTGTATAGATGGGGTCTTGCTACATCACTCAGTCTGGTCTCAAATTCCTGGGCTCAAGCAATCCTACCACCTCAGCCTCACAAAGTGTTGGAATTACAGGCATGATCCACCACATCCCGCCTATTCTCTGTTTATTAACAAATTACTTTTAAGTTCACTGACTTTTTCTCTGCAACACAGGCTTTGATCAAGAAGGAGTTTAGATAATCCAATAACTTCATTTTTATAAGAAAAATTGTTCAGAAAAGAAGTACTCTCTCTGTTCATGGTCTTATACATAGATGGGAAGTGTGTATGAAGATCTGATACAGAAGTATTTATAATATTTAATGTTATATTTAATGTTGTATCTTTCTTATTTTAAAAATCTGATTTGTAAATATCATTTGTCCTTTCAGTTTGAGATACTGAATTTTCCTTCCCTTCCACCACCTTACTTCCCTGGGGTCATTTCCAACTACCCTCTACCCCACACCCTATACTCTTAGCAATGCTGATATTCCTCTCTCACACATCATGATTTTGCGATACATTCATGCTGTACATGCTGTTCCCTATGCTAAAACGCTCACCATCTAATTTCCTTGGCCAATTGGTAAAACTTGCATTCATTCTTCAACACTCAACTCAGAAGTAACTTCCTCTTCAAAAGCTTCTGAATGACCCCCCAACACACACACACAGACACACACACACACTTTCCTTTTGTTATTTCAAGAGCACATGCATACCAATCATTTATAAATTCATACTATGATCATGTTTTTATAATTTATCTGCCTATCAAACAAGATTTTGAACTAATTAAGGACAAGGACAGCCTTATCCACCTCAGTGTCCTCAGAAATTAAGAGTATGCCTGGAGCGCAGTAGAAGCTCAAGAATTGTTGAACTGAACTTCATATTGTAATATACTTAATCTATAAGAAACATTAATACTGAAGAAAAATATAATTATGTTTAAAGAATCGCAACAACTACATTTCATAAATTTAAACTTTTCTTCACACATAAAAGTTATATTAATAGGACAAAAAGATCTATACTGATAATTAAATGTACATGGAAAATTCACTACTGGAGGTGGAGTATCTCCTTTCTATTCGTTCAAATTTTGTAACTCAATGTCAAAGCATACCTGAAAGTATCAGTATCAGTTTGAGATTTCTATTTACCTACATTAGGACCATCTCAACTTTATACAAGCTGTCCCTCCACTACCACATCTATGCTAGCATCACATTTTTAGTTACCTGCAGCTTGCTATTATGACACGTGATACCTTAGAAACTTACTTTGTAAATAGGTTATGTCATAATGTGTATAGAAAACTAAGTGAAAAGTATTAAACAGTACCTTTAATTTTTTAAGGGTTAACTTAACAAGGATTTATTCACAGGAATACATGTAAGTAGAGAAAAATAACAGAAAAGCTAAACAAATGAAATGAAGAGGATCCAAATCAACTTTCACTCTATAGCTTTTAACTTGCAACCTGTGTGCATATATCTACAGCACAGAGGGCCACCAACATGCACCAAAATACAGTATAGGAACCCTGCCTTACACTCATTAACTTAAACATATCTTTAAGATCACACTTTGAACAACAAAAAAGGAAGCTTAGAAGGCAGTATGTTGAGTGGGAATAAACACTGAAATACGCAATCATTTTTCAATTTCTACAACTGTCTTTATGTGCCAACTAACATTTATGTAGTCTTTTACAGATCTTTTACCACGTAATTTAAATGTTAGAAGTTTTGATAAAATCATGAGTAGTATATAACCATGCGGAAAGCACATCACACTGACAGCACAGAGGCAAAGAGTTTGCACAGGTATATCAGCTTTCCACATTGCGCAGGTCACACACAATGCAGTATCAATCTTATTCCTAACAGATCCTAAAAAAGATATTTCAAGGACTAGCTGTAAACTACAGTACTTTATATATCTATATTCTTAATAAAAATAAAACCCACAAATCTTAAAAGGGAACTTTAAATGCAGGGTTACACTAAATGGGTAAACTGCATCGCAAATTTCTGCAACATAGGTAAATGAATACCAATCTCACTCTATATGATGCAAGCATGCTACTTTCCCACTAATTTAAATTACTTTCAACCACTATGAGCCAGAATGCATGCCTGAACCTTAAACTACACTTTAAAAAATAACATATTGGCCTAGAAATTAAATCTAATGAAGTATAACCATCAAATTATATCCACTACATTAATGTTAAATGCAAAATTAAGATATCATCTTTAGTTTGATATATCAAACCCCATTTATTTCACCCTCTGTGCCCACCCTAAAAAAGGTAAAAGGAGTGACTCATTTGGCATTTCACAGAGTGCTTCATTGTTTATGTTTGTTTTGTTTTATTTCCAACTTTTTTGGGGTACCTTAAATTGTAACTTCCAAGAACCTGCTTCTACTACAGGAAGGCAAGCTGATTTTAACTATATTAGTTCTGTTTGTGTAGTTCTTCATCAACATGCAAAACAAGGCCCCATCATGTGGGAAAACTTGGATTAAAAAAAAAAAACAACTTTAAATTAAAAAAGAAAAAAGCTTCTTTACTATTTGTAGCTCCCATTCTTAGGTTTCCTTTATTGTGCGCTGTAGAATTGTTCCTCTTTCTTGTCCCCATCCATCATTTATATGGTTCCTGTTTTGGTACAATTCTCCATAATATTCCACAATGTGCTGTTTTGTGAGTAGACTGAACAGATTTTTTTTTTTTCTTCTTCAAATCCAGTGCGGAGTTGTAACTGGAGACATATTTCCACCCACAAAGGCTCTAGATGTTAAAACATTTTCCAACATCGACTTAATACAGTGACGGCAACACCTCCCTCCTGCCCCTCTCAGTACGGTGGGGACTGTAGTGTATTGCCTACTGGTTTACCCTTTCCTGCGTAAAGGGTAGCATTTTCCCTGAGGGCAGAGGCTCCCTCATAGTCTCCAAGACTGAAGGACCCCAAATTTTGGGACTGCAGCTTAAGTGTATTAGATTAAACACCATAAACAGCTGCAAGATGCTCTTTTTAAGAGAAGAGGAAACTGGTTAGAGAAATGCCTCCAATTTTATTGCCAACTTGATTTTTAAATCCATGAAGGATCTCACAGAACATGTCTCTGAGATCATCTTTTGGGTTAATCCATGATGTAACAGCATCACACAAAAAAATATATAAAATCTTGGATCACACCACTGGGATTCACAATGATCATGGTACAAATTCCACGGAATGCTGAATCCTTTTCCTCATTGTCTCTTATGTTTCTCAGAGAGGTGCACCAGGGTCTTCATACTGCTGTAGCATCGGGGCCACCTCTTGAAGACACACGTAACCAAGACGGCCAATCGTTATTGCTGTATTCTCTAACAATGTCTTTGGTGTGTTGGGTCTGTTAATGATTTCTACAAGCTGGTGCAACACCATAGGAATATAAGGCCGCATCTCTATACCCATTTGAATGGAGATTTCTCCAACTGCCCATGTGGCATTGCTGCAGACTGAAAAGAATTCTGGATTTGGGTTGGTTCCCAATATTGGCATGAAATCAGCTATACAAGGCTGAACATGCTAAAAGTAAGCTTTTGTGAGGTCACCTAAAGGGGCAAAAGAACTCTGTCGAACTTCTAGCATTTTATCCTGCATTCACTGATACATTCGTGTTAGGATGTTACTTCAGGTTACCAGCTGTTCAATGTTGCCTCCAAGTCCTTCAGCCAGGCCACTCAGTAGATCAAGAGCCACTATCATAAAATCTTTATCTGGAGCTTCATATTGATCTGGATGCGCATTGTTTAGCACGGCTTGTGCAAGAGTCTTCCTCATTGTCTCTTACACAGGTTCACAGTACTGAAGAAAGCCAGACTGCAGTGCTGTGGCAACTGAAGATAGGCACTCAGGTAAAGGGAAGAGATCCTTATCTTCATCATTTAACATGTTCCATTTCTGGGTCAGTGGAGGCATTAGCATCTGAATATATTCTAGTTTGTTTGAATGATGTCCTACTGAATCAGCTAATGTTCCTAAGGCATTGTAAAGCATGAGTAGGTTCTTATGCTGGTATTTACTAAATGCAAAGACCAGGGTATCAAGTATATAAGCAAAGTGAGGAACAAGTTCTGTACAAGCCTCCTCTTCCAGGGTAGCAAAGGCACTGTCAGCAGCTTCTTGTACTCTCTTGTTGCTATCCAGGATGCGCTTTAGCAGTTGTCATTAATGGCTTCAGGTACATGTCTGGTGGCTGGCTGACTACCCAGTATGCATAGTGGCTAAGAGTCCAGCATGTTATGGAATGTACAAGAGTCATTTTATCAGTGAGGCATTGAATAAAGTGAGGAACAAGCTCGGGCAAGTATGGAATAATGCCCTGCATGCAACCTTCAGCAATTGCTCCTAAAACCAAGATGCCTGATTCTTTAACAACCCATTCATGACGAAAAAGTAATTCTTTCAAAAGGGGTGGAATATGTGGCAGCAGTTCATCATGATACACATTTGCAAGAACACCTAGGGCAGTAGCAGAACATTTTCTTAGATTCCAGTCAGAAATTGTATCATCATCATCAATTTCATCATCATCATCTTCCTCTTCAATTCCATCTTCATATTGCTGAGCCATTGTCCTTGATCAGTGAAAACATGGCCATATATCTTGAATCTTACATAGAACATACTCAACTATATTATACATGTGAGGCAACAGGCGATCCATTCGAACTTCAAATAATCACAAGTACTTGGCACACATGTTTCCGTGCCTCTGGTTCTTCATCGCCAGCCAATGCAAAGAGATTCTCAATAAAAGAATCAATGTGCAACATTAGAGCTTGGGTCCTATTGATGATAAACTGATTGACACGTGCAACAGCGTGAGACCTTATTTCTGGACTACTGTGCTTTAAGAACTATAAAAATTTGGGAATCATAATGTTGAAAGGATGATCTAAATCATAACTACCTAAAATCTCAGCAGAATCTTCACAAATCTTCTGAAGGGTGCCAAATGCTCCCTCATGGGTGTTGTAATCTTCAGCATACAGGCTACAGAGTTTTGGTAAGAGGTCAGGCCAATTCTGTAATTCTCCCTTGGAGGCTAGAGTTGTGATCACAATACTAATGGTGGCTCTAATCAGAGAAGAGGAGTCACCAATATTATTTAAGCATTCACTTTTAATAAAAGTCTGTTATACCATATGGGAAGTTCTTAAAGTGTACTTTCACATTATTCTTCAAGATGTGATCTTGTGGGCTCATCTTCAGATTTTAATTTTGTAAGAACAAAAATCAAGTAGTTGTTAAAGTCTGAATATTTATTAAGTTGTTCCAGTTTTTGTTGCACGGTTCTCTGGATGGTGGTGTCTGGGGACTGGGACTCCTTTAACAGCTGCAGGATTTGCTGAAGCCTGTGCTTGTCAGGTTTCCACTCATACTCCATCTTAGTTTGCTGGGGTGCCCTGAAGGAAGTCTCGAATGGCAAAATCCAGCGGAACTGCCCCTGGCAGCCCGGCTGCCAACATCTGTTTCTGCTGCTGCTGCCGTCACGGCCACCCAGCGCCAGTACCTTTAATTTAAATGTTTCTATTTATTTTCAATTAAAAGGCAATATTTATCACATGTCATCATGACACCCATTTCAGCAACTATTTATTTTGTCCTTATTTGGTGCCAGAAACTTATAGGAGAGACAAGGAGATAATAAAGTATCAACTATACATTCAGGAACATGTAGTAGTAACTAGGGATTAAAAGTGACTAGACAGACTGAAATAAAAGTGAGAACAGATTATGAAAAGAAAAAAGCCAAAGTGTAGATATGACATAGAAGGAATGGGAAAGCCACAAGAAAAGTAACAAGTCAAACTGGTGACAAAATAATTTGGCAAAATGAATCAAAGCAGAAACACTAGCTATAACTTCTAAAGGTAGGGAGGTGATGGTTTTCATCACTACAGTCAATCAATAATGGAATTTGGTCAACTGTACCCTCTAAACCCATTTTCAAAACTACCCACCCCTCCAGAACTCCACTTTTGCCACCACAATGTTATAAGCTACTACCACCACTCACTTGAATATTAGCTTCCATGATCCTGTCTAGCTCCCCTCTAATTCAATCTTCATACAGAGCATTTTAAAAATGTAAACTGAACTAAATTTTTTGGAGTTTAAAATTCTCCAACTGCTTGCCTTCAATTTCTAAGGCAAAGATCCAAATCCTTCAAGCTCTGTGAAAGCTCTGTACTGACAGCTTCTTCTCCTGCCACTTCTTTCCTCTGAGTCAGTGCTCAGGATATCCTGGCCTTCTCATAGTTCCTCATACACTCCACAATCCCTCCCGCCCTTTCCTAAAGCATTCAACATTCTTCCAGCCGTACCAAATAGAAAGCAATTTTTAAAAGCAAGTTGAACATAAATGAATGAACCAAAAAGAAACATAAAGAAAACCCTCCATATACTGCCTTTTCTCCTTTTGTTTGTTCTCAGACTCTACTATAGTTTGGTACAGAGATAAAAACAAGTGTGGAAGCAGATAATCTGAATGTTTGGTTTTCAAAAAAGGTTTCTCCAACAAGAGTCCAAGTGAACCATTCTCCAAAAGGGAGTCTTTTGGTAACAGACAGAAAACAGAGAACAGTGCTAAATAGGTTCTTCTTTACCTTAAAGGAGAAACCCAGTATAAATCTATGGTGGCAGTAAAAACAATGACTTGGGAGTCAGTTGTTCCGATTTTTAATTACTCTGTACTGCTAGAGTGACTATGTGACTTTACCTTTCTAGGCCTCAGTATCTTTATGAAATAAATGGATAAGACTAAATAATCTCTATGACCTTGATTCTATAGCATCTAATTTTTCTGCTTATAAAATATACTACAGCTTTGCCAAACAGTAAAAGTCCAAGTGAATGGAAGAACAGAGGTCTACATGCTTTTCTAGAGCATCCAGGGGAACACAGCCTTGCCCCAGTGGGACACATTTTGGACTTGAGCTTCAAAATGGTAAGATAGATGCTATTTTAAACTACTAACTGTGGTAATATGTCACAGCAATGAGAGAAAACTAATACATCAACATATTTACAAATGTGTTTTTTATTCAGCCTGACCCTAATTACAAAAAAAAAAAAAAAAAAAAAAGTCCCGGATACCTAGAACCCTTAATGAGATTCTTTTAAAGGACAGTAAATTCTTTATCTCTACAAATACACCACAAACATAGTATCACATGTGCTATTTTTTTCTAAATAAACAATGTTTTTCCCTTTTCAAATAATTTTGAAATAGATGCTTCTTGAATCTTTAGGATTGAGCTGATCTCAGGATTCTTACAAATCCTTCCAACATTAGTTGCTGTGCACTTTCATGACTGATTATAATTAAACACTATCACATAAACTGACCATTAAGATAATCTAATTCGCATTCCCTAAAAATCAGAGTTTATACCAAATTTTTGAAGTATTGTTTGAAAAAAATGAAGCTTTCAGCTTTCTGCACACTTCTAGTTCCAAGCTTCCATATTAATCACACTAAATGATCCAGATCCTATAAAGCTTATTACACACAGAAGCATTTTTCATGATTTTTTAATGTCATTCATTTTGATAATAAAGCAGATACATGCCTGGCCAGGCACAGAGGCTCACACCTGTAATCCCAGCATTTTGGGAGGCCAAAGCAGGTGGATCACTTGAGATCAAAACTCGAGACTAGCCTGGCCAACATGGTGAAACCCTATCTCCACTAAAAAGACAAAAATTAGCCGGGCATGGTGGTGTGTGCCTGTAAACCCAGCTACTCAAAGAATCACTTGAACCCAAGAGGCAGAAGTTGCAGTGAGTTGAGATCAAGATCGCACCACCACACTCCAGCATGGGTGACAGAGCAGGACTCCATAAAAAAGAAAAAACAAAACAAAACAAAACAGATACATGTTAAGTCTTAGAATATTTATACTGCATCTGTATTATTAAGATTAAGATGTCCCAAATCATCTCCATAAATCACCCTTCAAATAATCCATGCATTAATGGTGTAGAGGTTTCAGAGCCCAAGTAGGATGAGAAAGACATCAATGTGGAAAAGGATATGGTGGCAGAAGTGACATGGGTTACAAAGAATGAAGTTAATCAAATAAGAACAGTCATGCACCATATGACAACATTTTGGTCAATGACTAACTGCATATAAAACTGGTCCCTTAAGATTATAATGGAGCTGAAAAATTCCTATTGCCTAGTAACATAATGATGTCGTAACTGTCATAACATCATAGAGCGGTGCATTACCTTTTCTATATTTAGATATGCTTAGATACACAAATATCATTATTGTTATAATTGCCTACAGTATTCCATAAGGTAACATGCTATACAGGTTTGTATCCTAAGAGCAATAGGCTAATACCACATAGCCTAGGTATATAGTAGGCTACAACATCTAAGTTTGTGTAAGTACATTCTACGATGCTTGCACAACAATGGAATTACCTAACACATTTCTCAGAATGTATCTCCATTGTTAAATAATGTGTAATATGTGTAAATAATGTGTAAATATTTTAAGTATAATAATGGAAGTCAGGTTTATCACCATCAGAGACGGAGGTTGCAAATATAGAAAGGGAAAAAACTAGAATTGAATCCTGTGGTGTTAGGATGGAATTGGTGGTATTAGTGTGAATTCATGGTTTTCAAAATATATAAATAATGTGGACATAAATATTGATACATGTGTGTGCAAGTATATATGTGTGTATATATATTCCCCAGCTCTCATCACTGAAGATGTCTGTGAGCAGCAACTTTTCAATAGCAGTGAACACATCTAGCCCCTAAAACTTGGCTCCGAAACAGCATTTCCTAATAAAAAGAACAAGGGCTCTAGGAGAAATCACTCATTCCAGGCCTAGGGCAGAAAAAAATGAAAGATGAGACTAAATCATCTTGTACAAAAGAGCAAGGGAGTGTTCAAAGAATTATGAGAGATAGAAGAAAAAAGCACAGGAGTCTGTTTGAAGGAGCACTCACTGGCCAGGAGACTGAAGAGACTAAAGTACATGATAAAACCAACGTGTCATTCTAACATGGATCTTTTTACTATAGAAGATATTATTGCCTTCAATTTTTGGCTCAGAAGAGGCCAAGGTGTAACTCTCTTTGGTTGTACCAAATCCAGGTTCATCTGACACCAGCTGCCTCCACCATGCTGCTGAAGTTCCACCCCAATGAGATCAAAGTTGTGTATCTGAGTTGTACCGAGGTAAAGTCAACGCCATGTCTGCACTGGCCCCCAAGATCGGCCCCCAGGGTCTGCCTCCAAAAAAGGTTGGTGATAATATTGCCAAGGCAACCAGTACCTGGAAGGGTCTGAGAATTACAGTGAAACTGACTATTCAGAATAGACAGGCCCAGATTGATGTGGCACCTTCTCGTTCTGCACTGATCATCAAAGCCCTCAAGGAACCGCCAGGAGACAGAAAGAAACAGGAAAATATTAAACAAGGTGAAAATATCACTTTTGATGAGACTGTCAACATTGCTCGACAGATGGGGCACCGATCTTTAGCCAGAGAACTCTCTGGAACCATTAAAGAGATCCTGGGGACTGCCTAGTCGGTGGGCTGCAATGCTGATGGCCGTCACCCTCATGACATCGTAGATGACATAAACAGTGGTGTGGCAGAATGGCCAGCTAGTTAAGAAGCACAAAGGAAAATATTTCAATAAAGGATCATTTGACAACTAAAAAAAAAAAAGAAAAGATATTATTGGTCAGATGGAGGAACTTGAATGGGGTCTGAGGATTTGGTTGTAGTAATCTATTCATGTTAATTTCATGATGCAGATGGTTATTCTGTGATTATACAGGAAAATGTTCTTGTTTCCAAGAAATATACATTAAAGCAGGAGTCTCTAACCCCTGGGCCATGGACTAGTACCAGTTTATGGCCAGTTAAGAACTGGGTTGCACAGCAAAAGGTGAGCAGCAAGCAAGGCAGCATTACTGCCTGAGCTCCACCTCCTGTCAGATCACCAGCAGCAATAGACTCTCATAGGAGAGTGAACCCTATTGTGTACTGTGCACATGAAGGATCTAGGTTGCACACACTTTATGAGAATCTAATGCCTGATGATCTGAGGTGGAAGGGTTTCACCCTAAAACCATCTCCATCTGCACTCCAGTCCACGGAAAAACTGTCTTCCACAAAACCAGTCCCTGGTGGCAGAAAGTTTGGGAATTACTGTATTAAAGTACCTGAAGGCCATAGGGCTTCAGGTAGGAAGATTATGTTTAAATGGCTCAGCGGGGTGGGGGGAGTCATTTGTACTTTTTGCTGTCACTTTTTAATAGATACAAGAACACTAGTTTCTGCATCACTTTGTAGAGACCATCAATACCACCTCCCCAACCCTTCCCACCACTTCGTGAGTATTAATGAATGGGGAAAATAACACTCTACAGTGGCCTCAGTAGAAAAGATTTTAAAAAGGCTATTTATTCACAGTGAAAGGACAAATGTAAACAAGGCAAAGTCCAGCCATGAAATAACCTTATGGATCACAAACTAAAATTTGAGACTTTATTCTAACCCAAAGCAATAGAATCTAAACATACATAACTAAGAAGAAACTTAATACTGATGCAGGATGTATGATAAAACCTGAGTTAAAGGGTCATAAGCATCAGAAAATGAGAATTTTACTAAAGAAAAGTACAGGCCAGGCACGCTGTAATCCCAGCACTTTGGGAGGCCAAGGCGGGCAGATCACGAGGTCAGGAGTTCGAGACCAGCCTGGCCAGCATGGTGAAACCCCGTCTCTACAAAAAATTAGCCAGGCATGGTGGCATGTGCCTGTAATCCCAGCTACTCAGGAGACTGAGGCGGGAGAATTGCTTGAACCCTGGAGGCGGAAGTTGCTGTGAGCCGAGATCATGCTACTGCACTCCAGGTTGGGTGAAGAGCAAGACTCCGTCTCAAAAAAACAAAAGAAAAGTCCAATCCTTGTCTTCAAAATTACTTCAGGGCAGGTATGAAGATCAATACAAAGTAGTATACTACAAACTGAAATACAGTGCCAAACATAGGAGGCAGCAACTGATTAGAAGTAGGAAGGAAGGAGTAATTAATTCTAACTGGAAAGAACCATTTATCGAGTACCTACTCACACTGTCAGTATCACAGCACAGAAAGATGAAAAGAGGCTGTCCTCACGATGTAACAGGAAGGAGAAAGGCAGAAAACAAAACCAGTGTGTGATTTAAAGTGCTATAGGGTCTCAACATTGAACAGTTAACCCTTAGATGGAGGGGAGAAAATAAAAGTCTGAATACAGCCTTAAAGGAGGAATAGATGGGAGCATTAAGAAAAATATAAACAATTTCAAATGGTCTTAGCCCGGGAATGTAGGCAAGGTAGCAGTAGTATGAAAAAGGCCCTGAACACAGATACAGGTATTTTTTTAGATTTTAGATTCATGATGTGTGAGTTTACTCCATGAACATGTTGCATAGTGGTGAGGTTTGGGCTTCTAGAAACCCATCACCCAAACAGTGAACACTGTACCCAATAGGTAATTTTTCAACTCTTATCCGCCATCCATCCTCCCCACTTCTGAAGTCCCCAATGTCTATTATTTCCATGTTTACATCCAAGTGTACCCACTGTTTAGCTCCTACTTACAAGTGAGAACATGCAGTATATGATATCCTGTTTCTGAGTTATTATACTTAGAATAATGGCCTCCAGCTCTGTCCATGTTGCTACAAAGGATACAGCTTCATTCTTCTTTTTTTTTCTTTTTCTCTGGAGAAAAAGTCTTGCTCTGCTGCCCAGGCTGGAGTGCAGTGACATGATCTCAGCTCAGGCCATTGCAGCCTCTGCCCGGGTTTGAGTGATTCTTGTGCCTCAGCCTCCCAAGTAGCTGGAATCGCAGGGATGTGCCACCATGCCTGGCTAATTTTTATAGTTTTAGTAGAGACGGGGTTTAGCCATGTTGGCCAAGCTGGTCTTGAACTCCTGGTCTCAAGTGATCCACCTGCCTCAGCCTCCCAAACTGCTGGGATTACAGGCATGAGCCACCAGGCCCAGTCTCAGTTTCATTCTTTTTTATGGTTGCATAGTATTCCATGGTGTATATACACCACATTTTCTTTATCCTATCAACTACTAATGGACACTTAAGTTGATTCCATGACTTTGCTACGATGAGTTCATGACTTTGCTACTTTGATAATTTACATTTATCATGATAAACATACAAGTGCAGATATCATTTCGATACAGTAACTTCTTTTCCTCTGGGTAGATGTCCAGCAGTGGGACTGCTGGATCAAATGATAATTCTATTTTTAGTTATTTCCTAAATTTCTGTACTGTTTTCCACAGAGGTTGTACTAATTCTCAGTTTTCATTCCCACCAACAGTGTTATAATTATTCCCCTTTTCTCCCCAACCTCACCAACATATGTTATTTTTTAACTTTTTAATAATAGCCATTCTGACTGGTGTGAGATGGCATCTCACTGTGGTTTTGATTTGCATCTCTCTAATGATTAGTGATGTTAAGCTTTTTTTTTACGTTTGTTGGCTGCTTGTATGTCTTCTATTGAGACATGTCTGTTCATATCCTTTGTCCATTTTTTTAATGGAGTTATACATTTTTTTCTTGTTGAGTTCCTTGTAAATTCTG